ACATATTATATATAGTGTGTGTGTATATGTGTGTGTGTGTATATATATACATTTTATACATATCAAGGCCTTTTTGCTTTTTCTCTTTGGGTTTTATTACTGATTAGGGAACCGGCTCCTTTTGGTTTAATATTTTTGTGACTTTTGACTTTGCCACTCAGGAGAGTGCCTTTGGTTTAAAAAAAAAAAAAAAATTGATTTGGCTGGGCACAGTGGCTCATGCCTGTAATCCCAGAACTTTGGGAGGCCAAGGTTTGGAGATTGTTTTGGAGATTATTATTTTCCTGTGGATGGAAATCCTTGTTTTTTATCTGCTTGTTCCCCCTGTTCACTGCCTTTCTTAAAAATTGTTCTATTATTTACTTCTATTCTTCCTGACTCCTTTTTCCTCTTTGCCATCTCAGGTACCACATAAAAGGATCTGGGAGAGACATCTAATGACTCAGACTGTTTAAGAAACACAGAAAAAGGTGCCACTGACCCCTTTTTTGGGTCACCTGTCCTCTTGTAAAGTCTAGACCATCATGGACAGATTAGTCTTAGGTCTCATACTCTACCGTCTTTTGTACTGTGTTACCTGATCTCATTGGTTTTCAGGAGTACCAGAGATTACTTTGTACTGAGAGAGATCTTGATCTTAGTGTATATGATGACTGGAGGGTCACTGGTAGAGCTGCAGTTTTGGAGGTGGATGAGGGCTACTGTTTACAATAAATGGTTATTGCTACACGACACTACTCATTTCCTTGGAAGTTTAGATGAGACAGGTGAGGTTTAAACCTTGGAGAAATGTTTTTGTAGCACAGTGCACCGTAGAAGCATTGCTTGGCCTAGTCCTGTGGTGTTTCCCATTTTTTGTGAGGGAGGAATCCAGGATTCAATGCAAAATTAGAATGCTTGATTTTAAAAATCTAAATGCTCTGCCTTCCAACTGTGCTTGCTTTTCACATATTTAAATCATTCAGCTTTAAAAACTGCAAATGCTTTATTGACCCTGTTCCTTAATGGGCTCCACTTTGAGCCCATTTGGAAAACAGACACTAAATTAAAAGCTACCTATCTAAATGAAATTGGCCTCCTTATGAAATTCTATAGTAAAGTCCTATGATTTTGTGTTGCCTTGAAATTCATTTTTAACCTTCCTCTAACATACCCAAATTCCTTCTTTAAAAATATTAAATTTTCTATCTTTGATTTGCAATGCAAATTTGCTACCCTGTTTCTCTAAAATTCAGTAAGAGCTTCAGCCACATGAAACAGATAAACATTAACCTTTCCCATAAAGAAAGGCACAGTTTGAACACAACTGTCCTTTTAAACTAGAGAGTTTTATCTGACTCATGGCTAAAGTTTTAAAACTAAAGCTCTAAGATCTTTATGACTGCCTGTATTTTTGTGTATACATGTATACACATTGTTTTATGTGTTGTCTATAACACCAAACTGGCTTGTAAATAAGCGTACCAATAAATTAAATAACTAAACCAAATGCTTTTCAAATTCACATGAATTTAGTAATCTTTGTTAAATAAAGATAGCTTAAAAATTGTTGGTAAAATAAAATAGAAAGAGCTTCATAATTTGGACATTTTTGTCTGTGTCTGCTGGTCAGACAAGTTTATACTATCTCTGCTAGATATTTTAAGGTCATAAAACTGTAGCTTGTATGATATTTTCAAATATTTGCTTAATTTGTGAGCTTATGTCTTTGGATTTGAGCATGTAGATCTGGGATCTGGACAGATGGCCACAGTGAGGCCTGGGGACAAGTCCTCAGAGCCTAGACCACCAACTAAAAAGCAGAATCAAGCTTAACATGGCCTCTTTCTCCCTGACCCAGCTTTTCCTCCTGGCCATGCTGGGAGGGGTCTGATCCTCCAATCATACTCTTCACAGCTCTCTCCTCTGTTCTGAGCTCTGTGCTTGGCATGGAAATTCAGGACCCAGTTGGGCCATGCTCTTCATTGCCATCTTTGGGTGCCATGTAAATATTAGGGACCTAGGGCAACTGAGGAAGACATTATAGAGGGTACCTGTTTTATAGTTTCAGAATTCTTTTCAGTAATTTAAAAGTCTTAAGATTTTGTTATGTTAGATTAAGTAATAGTTAATCATAAAATGTCTGAGTCATTTCTAAGTTAAAATACTGAAACATCAATTGTTAAACATAAATTTACGTTTATGTACTTCAACATCATATTTTACATGGCACAGTAAAACTATCTAAATATATTTTTAGATCTGCTAGTCAACAGACATCGAGAAAACCTCTTTCTAAGGAATAATAAAATGGTTTTCATAAAAAAATAATAGTATAAAATAGTTCAAAATTACTTAATTCCTAGGTTTTTCATTGAAAATTAGTTACTAGGTTAAAACTGTGATATGGTTTGGCTGTGTCCCAACCCAAATCTGGAATTCTAGCTCCCATAATCCCCACATGCTATGGGAGAGAGCTTAGTTATAATCCTTACATAGATGAAATTTCCACTATCTCTTGTTGTTTTCCTTCTTCTGAGGAAAACAAATTGACGATACAGGATATGAACAGACACTTCTCAAACGAAGACATTTATATGGCCAACAGACACATGAAAAAATGCTCATCATCACTCGCCATCAGAGAAATGCAAATCAAAACCACAATGAGATACCATCTCACACCAGTTAGAATGGCAATCATTAAAAAGTCAGGAAACAACAGGTGCTAGAGAGGATGTGGAGAAATAGGAACACTTTTACACTGTTGGTGGGACGATAAATTAGTTCAACCACTGTGGAAGACAGTGTGGCAATTCCTCAAGGATCTAGAACTAGAAATACCATTTGACCAAGCCATCCCATTACTGGGCATATACCTAAAGGATTATAAATCATGCTGCTGTAAAGACACATGCACACGAATGTTTACTGAGGCACTTTTCACAATAGCAAAGACTTGGAACCAACCCAAATGTCCATCAATGATAGACTGGATTAAGAAAATGTGGCACATATACACCATGGAATACTATGCAGCCATAAAAAAGGATGAGTTCATGTCCTTTGTAGGGACATGGATGAAGCTGGAAACCATCATTCTGAGCAAACTATCGCAAGGACAGAAAACCAAACACCGCATGTTCTCACTCATAGGTGGGAATTGAACAATGAGAACACTTGGACACAGGGTGCAGAACATCACACACCAGGGCCTGTCATGGGGTAGGGGTAGGGGGTATAGCATTAGGAGATATACCTAATGTAAATGATAAGTTAATGGGTGCAGCACACCAACATGGCACATGTATACATATGTAACAAACCTGCACATTGTGCACATGTACCCTAGAGCTTAAAGTATAATAAAAATAAATAAATAAATAAATAAATAATGAATCTGTCAGTCAAAGTACATGAATATTTTAAAATAGATGTTGCCAGATCACATTGTTCAAAACTTTACTAATTTAAATCTTAATAATATAGACTTTCATTTTGAAATAATAAAACATTGCCTTTTTGACATCAAAAAAAAAAATTGACAATACTCTGAAGTCTAGGTACGATTCAACAAGCAACAGCAGCCATAAATCAATGACTTTGACATAATTACTTGGGAATGAGCCTTCTTGATGATGGACAACTTGATACTCAAATTTTGATCATCAATGCTGTCAAGAAGATAGATTTTTGATCAAAAGGGGGAAATAAGAAAAGAAAATAATTTTATCTGAGGAATGCAAGTTACTTTAATTAACCAGCCCAGAGAGACATTAAAATGAAACAGCAATTACATCCTTCTAGTCCCTCTGTGCTGTGCATTAATCCCTTGAAACTGCTTGCTATCACCATAAGTAGCTGTAACTTAACATAATGATGCCACACTGGACTCTATAACCCACACCCTAGAGCTTAACAATGGATAGCCAACCACTTGTCAATGTTATTTCTGTAAATCAATGAGAATGCCTGACAAACAACTTTGTATCAGCTCACTCCCTGTCTCCCATTTTTTCCTTTAAAAATCTACTTGTAATTGCTGCTAACTGGAGTGAATATTCAGGGCAATTTGAATCTATGCTCCTGGCTTGCAATTCTCAAGCTTGGTCCAAATAAACTCCCTACTTATATTAATTTTGCCTCAGGTTCTTCCTTTTAAGCTGAGAGGACAAAAAATTTAAAATGTCAAAATAGTATTTTTGATTTATTAAGGCTCAAGATAGAACGAAAATATTTTTCTTTTAAAAATAAAAACCTTAATTTGTTAAGTTTTTAAAAGTGATCTGTCAACAGGGTAATTCATAAGATAAAAAGGAGATAGGTGTATATATATCTATATGTAGATAATATACAACTAATATACATACAATACATACAAATATATATACAAAAGGATAATATACAACTAATCATTTGTTGACAGATAAAGCTTTTGAATTATAATACATTTCCCTTTCACTTACTGTGGTCAATTTTACCTGTCATTTATCATTGTACCAGTAACACTATTTTTTGGGGGGAAAAAGACAGTAAAATGCAAGCATTAAGGGACACATTTGAAAGTAAATATTCTTCCAGTACCAAGCACATGATTAATCATATCTTCCATGCTGAGCACATATTCTTCTCTCCGTGTGGGGGTGCCAGCTGTTTAATGGTACATAGAGAAACCTATTTTACCTTTAATCCAATAAATCTCATAGGGTACACCACTATAACATATCTCAGTGATTTTCTTTCTTGGAAATGGTCTATTATATATTTAACCCCTTCTCTTTAGCTCTTCAGAAATTTTAATATTTGCATAAAAATTTTCAACACACTTTTACTTAGTTATTTTTACTTGGAAAAAGTATAGCAAATTAGAATATTTAAAATGTTAAACCCTAAATATGAGGACTTTATATCAAAAGAAATGTCATCAATAATCTAATATGATAAATAACATCAAAAATCTTATTAACACCTTTCTATTAAAATATAGCCACTTATTATTTTTCAATTGGACTGTTAGATACCTGAGCTTCTGGTTGTACTGTTTGACCTTTTCCAGTGAGGCTGCATTTATCTGAGCTTGAAATTCTTCCACGGAAACATTGTCTCTGTAATAATATCCTTCCATGCTCTCCAGTGCTGCGTAAACAAGTAAACATATTTTACAAGCAATTTTAAACTCAATTTCTCCAAATGTAGTATAATTTTATTGATTATTAGTAAATTTAGCAAATAGGACCAATTATCAACACATATGCAAAAAAATTATATTAGGTCCAAAAATGAATGAAAACTGTTCTGCTCTCAAAATAAATATCAAACATTTGATGATTTTTCTGTCCAATGGGCAAAGAAAATTTCTAGTTTAACTGTCCTCTATTTTTAAAAAATTTTGTATATGTTGTAGGAGACCAAAATATGCCACTCCAAAATATAACTGTAGGAGACCAGAATACACTGCCCCAAAATATGTCTCACTGGCATAAGGATTATTTTGATCTGGTTATTTTGAGAAACTGCATGCAGACACAGGAGAAACTCTGAAAACAGAGTAGAAGTTTCCCTTTGATAAGGAAATTTTACATCCATAAAGGAAACCTCTACTTGTAAGAGTGTCTCCCCCTCTGTACTAGGAAGAGAAGGAAGACGATCACAGAGAGCTTTGTCTGCACAACACATCTTACCCTTTTTTTAATGGTGCTTTCCTGGTCACCTCCCCATAACTAGGCCTTCCCTAGACCTTCTTCTGTTTCAGTAGAAAATGGTTATATTTAAGCCTAACTTCAAAGCTACCTCTTTCAGATATAATCACTTTTCCTTAGGTATCTCCCATGTACACATGAGGTCTACATGTTATTAAACATCTGTTTGCTTTTCTCTTGTTAACTTGTCTTTTGCTATGGGGACCATCCCAACTAAGAACTATGAAAGGTAGAGAGAAAATTATTTTTCCTCCTCTACAACATTCTTTGTGAAGCTAAACTTACACTTCCGATGTATTTGATATTTATACACACATGTCTATTACATATGACACATATATGTTCATATTCGGAACATATGTATGAAAGGCAGAAGTGTGCATTAATGTATGTCAGGGGCCTAGCACGGTGGCTCATGTCTGTAATTCCAGCACTTTGAGAGCCAAGGCAGGTGGATCATTTGAGGTCAGAAGTTCAAAACTAGCTTAGGCAACATAGCGAGATCCTGTCTCTAAAAAAATAAAATTCAAAAATTAGCCTGGCATGGTGGCATGCACCTGTAGTCCTAGATACTCAGGAGGCTGAGGTGGGAAGTTAACTTGAGCCCAGGACTTCGAAGCTGCAGTAAGCTAGGATCGTGCCACTGGACTCCAGTCTGGAGGACAGAGTAAGACTCTGTCTCCTAAAACAATCGTAACAACAACAAAAACGTGTCAGAGTAAAAAAATGGAAATTTTCACTCCCCACGCATATTCACATTCTTGTATAACCTTAATAAAGAAATGTTAACGTATTAAATAAAAAGTATAAATTGAAATCTTAGAAAATCACCTCTACTCAAACTGTCATTTAATTTAGTTATAATATCCCACTAATTTTAAATGTATTTTGAATAGCATACACATTTCCTTTTTAATAACATTTTTGATTCAGTATTTCTTTTTCCTTTAACCTTTATGAAGTATCATTTAAAAAATTTTGGAGAGGAAATAAATTGCAGGAAAAGGGCCCAGAAATACAAGATTTCCTGCGGAAAGGTTGCCAGTAACAGGAATGGCTGTGGGTCCAAGTTGGAAATGTAAATTATTTTCTGTTGAAATGCATCACTACTTATGAGCCTCAATTTTTAATAAACGATTTAAAATTCAAAACAATCTTCTTTCAAGACTGCTAAATGCACTAGTTTCTAAACTAAATCATGAAGTTTCTTTAAAGTGAAAGAAACTATCACCATTTTGAAGGGGGGGATATAGGAAACTGACTGCGAATTTTAGCTGTGCTATAGTTTTATTAAACTAGTCAGAATTCTAGAACACTGAAGAAAATAATAAAATTTTAAAGATCCATGTCACATTTGCAGATTGTTTTTAATGGAAATTTTAAAAATTGGTTTACAGTTGAGAAAAGCAGTTGTGGAAGATAAGGGAGAAAATATACTACATTTACTTCAGTACAGAAAATGAAATTTGTGTGCTTATTTCACAGATTTTTAATTTATTTCTTATGGCTTCTGGGAAGGAACCCAGGAAACTTTACCCTTAAAATATGACACCCTGGTATACTGATTACTTTAAATTAAAGGTTTCTGCAAGTCAGCAGATATTGGATGAGGCTTTTCTCTGATATGTCCTATCTACCTTAAGACTAGATCTGCAAAAGAGAACACAATTGCTTTCCCTACCCTCCCTGGAAATCTCATTATCTATGCTAGAAAAGAAGACTGTGGAAGGTAACCCACCTAGAAGGACTCTTCCCATAAGATAATATATATTTCTCCAGCTCATTCAAATTCCAAGACAATCATTTACAAGTTAATTTCTGTCTCCCGGGCCCATTCATTCTCCCTAATAAACATTTTACTACCTCCTACATTCCCCATCTCCCCCATCGCCTATGAAGAAGGGTATATAAGTATCTGGACCTCACTGAGTTATTGGGTAATCACTCTCCCATGATTTTTGCCCTGTGCACATTTAATAAATTTTGTATGCTTTGTTTCCTTATTAATCTGCCTATTGCAACTTCATTTTCAGCAACCTTTCAAAGGGAAAAGGACAGGCTTTCTCTCTTAGAGCCTACATTTTCATTAATTACAATAGTTGTAACTGGTTCAACAAACTTCTGGTCCTGAATACACACAGAAAATAAAAGAAACTATCCCTGATAAAATAATCCTTAAATACATGCCATGTTCACAAGCTGCTATTTGTGAAGAGATTCAGTCTACCAATAGTCATACTTCAAATAAATTACTCCTACCAGTTGGAAAGCTGATGCATTAGAGTAAAATTCCAGTTTCTGCTGTGTGACTTTGGTCAAGTTAATTAATATCTGAAATTCTCAGGTTCTGCATTTTCGGCTTGCAAAATAAAAGTACCTACCGGTTATGGTTAATGAGAAAGAATTTAATTAAATAATAGTATTAAGACAGCTCATGAGTATTCTTACTTATTGAATGAGTTTTATTTACTAGGCAACATGCCAAATGCTGTACGGGTACTACCTAATTCAATTCCAATGAGATACTGATTATGCAGAGTGTGCTTAGCCAAACACAAAGTTTGTGGGACTAAGAGAAGGGTCCATGCAAAAACACCTTGATTTGTGACTTAAAACCAGAAAAACTGGAAGGAGAACAGTGGGATGGCACAGCAGTGGAACTGTGAGGGTAAGGGAGGAGACCACCGCTCATATTGTCTTACGCCCAATTTCTGCCTCCAAAGAAAGAAGTAGTAAAAACTAAAAGGCAGAAATGAAATCCACAGGCAGACAGTCCAGTGCCATACCCTGGGCCTGGTAGTTAAAGATTGACCCCTGACCTAATTGGTTCTGTTATCTATAGATTACAGACATTATATAGAAATGCACTGTGAAAATCCCTCTTGTTTCGTTCCGATCTAATTACGGGTGCATGCAGCCCCCAGTCACGTACCCCCTGCTTGCTCAATCAATCACGACCCTCTCACACACACTCCCTTACAGTTGTGAACCCTTAAAAGGGACAGGAATTGCTCTGTCTCAAGAGCTCAGCTCAGCTCTTGAGACAGAAGTCTTGCTGATGCTCCTGGCCGAATAAACCTCTTCCTTCTTTAACTCGGTGTCTGAGGAGTTTTGTCTGCCGCTCATCTTGCTACAAGGGGAGAGGGCTGGGAACTAATTTTTATAAAGATCTTGATGGTTCAACTTTGGCCAGAATGGCCAGTCCTGTCCCAAATTTTATATAAGAACAAGTATATAAACATAATTTAATATAATTTTAATGAATAGTTCTACAACTTCATAAATTTCCATCTTCATTACATTTTGGACAATATTATTCCAAATTAACAAGTCAGTTAAAATTCACAATCACATAAAAATTTTTAAAAACTGGAAAAATGCCTAACAATTTTGCCAAGAGTCTTAGTAAGAATTCTGTGTCACATGTATAGAGTTGTGGGGAATGAACAAAAAAAGATGAGTTTTATATTTAAAAACTAAAATTTGTATGACAGAGAAGAGGAAAGATGACAACATTCCCTATTTTAGCTAAATAACTTGTTTATTTATTGTTATGAAAAACCCAGAACAACATTCTACCAAATTAAATAACATGTTAATTTCAAACATGTTAAATTTGGCATTTCCTTGTCTAGTTTCCTTAGTACTCATCCATAAAATGATATATTTCTCAAAAGCAGTATCAATGTACTTGGTTGAATATTTAGTTTATTTACTTCTACTACTTTTCAAGCAAAGGAAGAAAAACATTCCATTAAATTTAGGTAGTCAGCAAAAAAGGAAAACCTAATGAATGTTAGAGAAAATTAAAGATTAAATTATTCTTAGACTGAAGCAAGCTACATCTCCACTTACTCAAAATACCTTTCAAGGCTTTCCCAAGAAAGGGATTAATCGGGAAAAACACAGAATCTCTGAAGAATAATTTTAAGAATAGTGTCAGTCCGCTAACACTCTCTTTTGATAGCACACTTTTTTGGTTAAATAAGACATGGCACATGCACTGCTAGAATTCCCCAGAAATGGTCACCATGGGTCATAATTCCTCAGAATTGGTCCCAGTTATTGGAAGAGAAGCAAGATTTGTTGATCCCATTATGACAAATATGTGAGAATGGCCGTGTGATATATAATAATGTTTTGTGATTCTAAATGTCTCAAAATGGAGTCATTTATGACAAGTCACTCAGCCCACAGTGAAACTGCTGACTCTTCAAAGTGATAAGCACATGTATGGTGGACTGAGGTGGTAAGATGACACCTGCCATGGCCAGGCACCTCAGAGACCCCACAGGAAAGTGAAGCCAAAGGCAGCTGAGATAATGACTATGGACACACTCCTGTGGAGAGCCATAAAAACAGCAAGAAACTGACAATGGTTGAGATGCCTGCAGAAGCTTTGCCAGGAGAACTCTGAGGCCTCCTCGCCATAGAAGC